TACTACAGACCCCAAGTTAACTGTTAGCGTGGTGGAGCCCTGTGATGCAATTAGGACTGTGGTTTACCCAAAGATGGTGGGCAAAACTAATGTGCCCAAAATAACTGCTGGCTTTGTAAGAATAAGCTTCCCAAAACTGCACCATGGCTACAAATGTGCCCACAGTTCGCCCTCCACAAGGAGCAAGCAACTATGTCAACTCTTTGGTCAGCCAAGGCCTACATAGCAATGGAGTAGTATCCTTTGTAGGATACTACTCCATTGCTATTAGGGATGAAAAAGGTTAAATGGTTAACTGGTAAGCATTAGGCTTGCTGTTAACTGGACCTTAACCGTTAACCCCTGTGGCTGGCTGCATCGGGGTGGCCGGTGTGACCCCGAACGCGGTCGTGTCGGGCCGGGCGGGCTGGAATGGCCCTGGCCACACCGGCGGGACCCCAGCCCAGGCCGGTGGGCTGGAGTGGCCCCAGCCCCACTGGCAGAGCCCCGGCTCTGGCCACACTGTGCCGGCGGGTGGGCTGCAGCGGCCCCGGCTGCAGCGGGCCAGTGGGGCCCTAGTTCTGGTGGGAGCCTTGCTGTCCCACACTGCCCCACTGCTGGAGTGAAATCAGTTAACGGTTAAACGATTAAATGATATAATTTTAATCCTTTCACCGGTTAACTATTTTAACCAATATTTCCATCCCTAATTGCTATGCCAGCCTTGGCCAACCAAAGAGGCAGGTTTGTGGACACCAGTGCATGCTGTATTGGCAAGGTGCATGATGCCACGGTGCTAAGATCTGGCGTTTACCGGTTTGGACAAGCAGTGACCTTATTTGCTCCAAAATTACATGATTATCAATAGGGTCTCTATGCCCACTCATGACAGTGGACTCTGCTTACACTATCCTGCCATGGCTCATGAAACCGTACCCTGAGCTCAAAGAACCTGGCAAAAGAAAGCTCAATAAAATGCTTGGCAGTTGCAGGCTGGTGGCTGAGTGCACATTTGGCAGATTCAAAGCAAGATGTTGCTGCCTTCAAAACTGTTTGGATGCAAGTGTGGCCAACATTGTCCATCTTATTGTGGCATGCTGCACATTGCACTATGTTTGCAAGGTGAAACAAGAGCATTTTCACATGGAGTGGACTCAAGTAGATCTCAGCTTACCAGTGAGAGAAAGGGGTTGACAAGCTGTAACCTGAATATTATGGTGATCATAATACATGTTTTCTTTATTTAAACTGTGCTTTTAAATACACAGTTCAATACTCCCCTCCAGGTTAAAAAGGAAGAATAGTGTAAAAGATTATTCAAAAAGTGGAAAAGTAACCATACTTCAGGTTCATACAGAAAATAGCACTATATAATCTGGAAATATGGAAAAGAATATTGAATATATCAGATAATTTACCACTGAAGTAGTTGGAGTGGTACATTCTGAATGCCAATACACTGCTTTTTATTTAACATGTTAAAGGGCTCTGTCATTCAAACGTTACAATATATGGTGTAAGGGCATTTTGGGCTGAATAGTGCCGAGATGTATACCACAGTCAACCCCACAGGATACTAACTAGGGCAAAATTTAGCTATATTTTTTTATAACATGCCCTTATTGTGATATCCAAGTGTCAGATAAATTAATTTAAGTAAAAACAGAATTCTGGTTTCTTACTCTCCCTAACAAAAACAGCAGCAGAACTTTTCAGTGTTTAAATATTCTACACAGGGCAAAACAAGTGCATTTTGTTAGTGTAAACTTTTTTTTATTTTAGTTACTTTTTCACATATAACTTCATGTAAGCTACAAAAGTTGTGAAATGCAAAAATGGTAATAAAACAGCAAACTTAAAACAGTTTAGATAAAAAACATGTGTCTTCCCCCTAACATTGACCATTAAAAATGAACCACATTTTGATGGATTCATTCAATAAACATACCATACACTTTTCAAAAATAAACAGAGAACAACATTAGAGAAACTAATACCATCAACAGCATGAAGTATTTAGTTGATTGATTTGTAAAGACAAATGAAATCTCTAGGCACAGTTTTAGGCATTATAGAGGACACAGAGGCAACAGGTTAGTGTGCACTGTTCTGTACAAAAATACAGTCTGAATAAATTACATTGCTAGCCATAAGATTAGACTTCACTTACCAGTTAGTTCATTGCATGTTTAATAATATACAGTTACATGCTAATCCATATATCATTCATATTTCAAACACATAGGTCTCTATATTTATGTCTTTAAAATTTACATGTTGAACTTACAAAAGCTAAATGTAGTTGTGCAAGAAATTCAAAAGAGTGGGTTGGTACTTGTCGTACCGGATAGTATACTTTAAGCTTAAAAAATAAAAATAACTAGCCCTGCTTGCAAGTTCACTATATATATTTGGAAGAGAAATAATGGGTTTGTGGTGTGAAAAATTAGCTTGCTAGTGAGATAAAGCCACATACAACTGAAATGATGAAGGCATGATGTAAGAATAATATATAAAAAATGGATGTCTATTGTATATACACTCCAATAAAGGAGTGTTTTATTCTATGGGTAGAAAAAATATTTCAGCTTTACATCGTATTTACTTTTAGTTTGGTGCCAAAACATACAATATTCGGCAATCTTGGCCATGGTAGGGGGAAAAAGCAGCAGCATAGGCTAAAATTAGGTGCCTAATCCCACACTTAGGCTACTAAATAAAAAGGACCCGATTCTCATAAGTTTCCCCACACACAAACTCCACTAGTTTTATTGAGTTTAAGGCCAGAAAGGACCATTAGATCATCTAGACTGACCAATATAATACAGGCCATTACATTTCACTCAGATGCCTCTGAGTTAGACCAAAACATTTCAGTCCTCAGGAAACTAAACTTTGTCCAACAGACAGAGAACAGAAGAGACCAAGGTGCCACCAATGCCCACAGCCCCTGCAGTGGCAGTGAACTGATTATGTGCTGATCACCTGTAGATCCCATTAACTTCAATGGAAGTTGCAGGTATTCAGAACCTCTGAAAATCAGGCCCTGACTTTTGATGCCTAAGTATGGATATAGGATCCTAACTTTAGGCACTCAAGTTTGAAAATGTTTGCCTAACGGCCTTTTATGTTATGAATTGTGTGTTTTCCAGTATATGTGCAACTTATGTGTATATGCATTAGCCCACTGAATATGTTCTCTCTAGCTATACAGAAAGAGAAAGAGGGAGTTTACTAAGATTAGTAGATATGAGATAGGTCTAGCATTGTACGGCTTCCTCTCCTTGTACTAAGCAAAGTGCTGTGTAATTGTCAGCACCGAAGCACAGTTTCCCCTAGAAAGGAACAGAGATCCACTCACAGTAGACTTCTTAAAATTAGCCTAATTCCCATTCCATCACACAATGTTCCTAATGCTGCTAAATAAGAGCAGTGTTACGCTGCAGTCCAGAAAGATTTGCAGTTAAAGCCAAGGCCTGGAATGTGGTTAAATCACGCAGGAAAAAATGCAAAATTCCAAATATTCTCAGCTGCGTGCGAGATAAAGTGAAAGGTGCTCTCCTTCTTTCCCTCATGCCCTTTTACCCTCATCCTTCAGCAGGCCGCACAAAAACATTTAAGTGAAGCTATCATTTTGCTCTGTCATCCTAGTCTAGCTAATCATCACTGATCCAGGGAAGAGTGCTGATGCTGACGATTCTCCTGTGATATTATACACTCTATCCCAGAGAGGCCTAGGTTTGTTAAGAACTGAATCTTGTTTGACAGAAATACTTTAAAAAACAACAGGCTACAAGCAGGTTTATGCTTCTTCTATACCAATTGCTGAATTGCCTCTCTCTGTAAACTGTGGCGAGTACATTTAATAACATTAGGACCACATCCTTTTGCATACGAATGCATGTTTACAGCTTCAAAGTCCCTGTTCTTACAGAGGCCCAACTAGGGTATTTTAAATTTCTCCATTAACAAAAATAATTATTTCTAAAGTTGTATATTAGAACTGTATAAAAATATGTTCACAATTAATTCAAAGTACCCAAATAAGCAAATATTAAACAAAAATAAAAGTTATGCTGTGTAAGTCAATTTAAAACCCTAGTTTAACTTGGGTCTCATTTCATTTGTATAGCCTCTGGAAGTTTGAAGTGGGAAATATTCAGCAAGTAGTAATTAGACGGATGTCAATCAACCCTTTATACTCAGAGAAAAACAAATATCTAAGCTTATATCCTGTACTGATAACATTTTTATATTGTACATAACTAGATCTCAGCTACATTCTTTCAATTAGAGACAGAAAGTAACTGGATTTTTAGAAAGTGGTAGTCTCTCTCTACTAAACAGCTTTTTTTTTAAATAAATACTTTTAATAAGTACCAAGCAACTAGTTATTTTAGATTTAATCCAATTCCACCTCAAATTTATATGAACTTGTAGGTATTTCCCATCAAAACAGAGCATAAGCGCATACAGAGAGAGCAACCGATTTTAAGATTTTTTTTTGCATTACTGACCCAAAATGGAGATAGCGATCCAAGACTCGTAAGAAGGCATACAAAGTTAGTGCTTTAACCACTGCACCACAGCAAATATTACCATTTTGAGATGTAATGTGTTTCTTCCTCTGCATATGTTATATATATATATATATTTTCATTTATACTAACAAATGCCTTCTATAAAAATAGTTGGACTTGTTATTTATGCATTTTTACTGCACAGTTTGGAAATTAAAAGGGCATGAAGACAAATGCAGCTCATACATGCATTTTATTTGCCTCAGGGAAATTCAAGGCCCCATTACCCCTCATCCCACCCCACAATACTCAGAGCTGAGACAACTTCCAGCCACATAATTAGAAGCATATGTCTCCATGTTTTGACTTTCCTTCCGGGATCTGCCACAGTTGGCAGGGAAGATGTGGATTGCCAATGCATAAACTCCCATTGTTGTTTTTTTCAGCAAACTGTCCAATGCAGACATTAGGAAAGTCATTGATCATTTACATTCATTGCCCCCAACACATGGTCATTTGCAACTAATTCCTCCAGAGCTTTTTCTAGCAAGTGACCAGGGCCCAACACCACTTGATGTAAGATGGCACCACCTGCTTATCATGACATCTGAATCCACCATGATATAAGGAAACTTCTAAATGGAGCTTATGCCAGCTGCTCCCCTGCAGGCGATGGCAGAAGCAGGCACTGCATTTTCATTCCAGCAACGTCGCTCACAATGATCGCTGTATCTAGATCCTTTGCTTGTTGTCAAGAAAAATGACATTAACGTAGCAGCAGCTTCCAACATTTGCCTGTGTAAGATTAGCAATCTTAATTTTCGCAGTTCTCTTAAATGGATGTAAAAGCTAGTTATAGTGTTTGCAGCCAAAAGGCAAAGGCTATTAAATCAACAGAGCAGACTGCTTGGTGCTCCACAAGTATTCTAAAAAACAGCGAGTTAGAAAAGATGGAGTAATCCTTTTGTTATTTCTTTTCTTTTTCTCAAACTAAAGTAGTACTAGTAGTAGTCTTCATAGATCTTAGGGTTCAGGCAATAAAGGAGGGCACCCCCAAATGAAAATATAGTTGCACCCCAAGCCAGGCCATAGCCCCAGTTGAACTCATGGTATATTTTCAAGTTGACTGTCTCGATGAACTTGACTGGATAAAGGACCAGGCTGCACGCCTGAAGAACAACTGAAAGAGAAATTAACCAAAAGTCAGAAGAGGGTTTTACTCATTTACATAAAACACAACAAACGTTACATTACCAACACTCACATTAAAAATGTGGTTTTTGGTTACATGACCCTATTTGAGCTAGCAGCGAAAGAAATAGCAGCTTATCGGTGTAGAGAACAATTAAATGAATTGCAAGAAATTTGGACCCTGCTTCTGGATACATTTGGGTAAAGAATGTTGAGATAGCTCAAGTAATGCTAAACTTCCGTTCCATCTGACCTCTCCGCTTTTCCCCTCCCTCTGTCCATCCTCCAATCTCCTCCTTCCCTTTTTAAAAAAATTGTTACCCCCCCACACACACACTCCAACATGTTATTTCTGTGTAATACCATCTGATTTTGTATTGTTTGGTCTTGCAGCTTTAACAAGTTGTAAAGTTGCATAACTGCATAATTTAATCGGCTATCTTGTGAAATGTGAGGTATTTGATAATATACACAAGCAGCAAGTCATTTACCTTTTTGTATTTTTTAAAAAATAATCATAAAAATGCCTTTGGTCCAATTTTTATTTGTATATATTGCTCTATTTGTACGTAAAAATAAACTAACACAAACTATAGAGCGTATAGCAACTCCAATATATTCCCTAGGAGATGAACAAATGTTATTTGTATTGTATAATTATATGATTCTATTTGTTCCCTGGAGATTTAAAGTAGCAGCAATCTCTTCCCAATGTCCTTTTTGCTACCTTTTTTTAGTCTGGAGTTTGGATTCTTTCTGTAATAAAACAAAAATGACTAATCTAATGGATACTACAAATAGAACACATCGAAGATGAGGAGGAATAAAGGAACCTGAAGAAATACAGTCCACACTCAACCAATTTATTCTAAACAAGGAGTAATATGGGATATTAATTAATATGTCCAATTACAATATAATTCTTATGGAATTATATATTATGTAGACATCACCCACTGTAATCAGGATTAGTAATATTATTATATGGATTAACAAAGGAATTCATAAAGCTTTGTCACCTATTGTAAAGTCATAAAACTCTAATACGTGGAAAAATATTTGCTGCATACGGTAAATACAGAGAGGAAAAATATGTCTGACTCCGGCTCAAAACTGATGAAACAAAGCAAATTCTAGGAAGTGAGATGCTTAAAAATCATTATTTTCTAGGATACTGTTCCTGAGAGAGTGGGAAGATTTCATACAGCAAGTGGTATATGCTCCAAACACATTTGCAATGGAATTCAATAAATGTGATAACTATTGTGTTGTATCCTGACCAGATGTAATATGCTTACAGTAAGAGTGCATTGTGTGTGCATGCATGGATGAAGAACCTAATTTTCTATTTGGAGAGCTCAGTTTTATAAGGGTCCATTCTTCCCTAATGCAGATACATAACTACCATTAGCATAATTGGGATAAACAGTTATTGGGTTCAATACAAGGATAAGTGGGTGAAATTTAATAGCCTGTATTATGCAGGAGGTGAGACCAGATGATCTAATGGACCCTTCTGGCCTTAAACTCTATGAACTGCATGTGCACAAGAGGAGAAAAGACACGACAGCAATGTGATTTCCAGCCTTTTTTCATCCTAAATACAGTGTGCCCCGATCTCATGAACATTTAAGCAGATGATTAACTTTGTGCACAGGAGCAGCCCCATGATTTCAGTGGGACTATTCATAACCACAATGATAAGCACATGCTTAAGTAATTGCAGAATTGGGGCATATACTGTTAAAAGCACAGAGCTATCTGATATGATAGCACATTTTTTTAAAACAAAGAAATATATTAAATGTAATAAAAATAAGAAAGCTATTTAGAGATAATTCTCTATGAGCCCCGTGCCAGATTAAAATTACACTAAAAAAAATGAGTATTCTGAATTACAGAATTCTGTCTGAAATTACATTGCAAAATTATAATAACATGAAATACATCTTAATTGTATTACCCTGGTGTTTAAACATTTATTGCACAAAAAATCATTTTAATTTTGCTTTTTATATCCTCCCTGTGCACTCTTTCCCTCTTTTAAGTAAATGGCTTTAGTGCTACCAAAAGATGCCAATTTGACTGCACTAGAGACTAAAGCCCTCAATTTATTGGCAGAACAGGAACTGCAACAACAATAGTGCAGAACTGTCCTGCCAATGCATCTCAACCCAACATTGTCTCATAGACTTTAAAGCCAGAAGGGACCATCCTGATCATCTAGTCTGACCTCCTGCACATCGCAGGCCACAGAATCTCACCCACCCAGTCCTGTAATAAACCTATAACCTCTGGCTGAGTTACTCAAGCCCTTAAATCATGATTTTAAAGATTCAAGTTACAAAGAATCTATCATTTACTCTAGTTCAAACTAGCGAATGATGCATGCCCCATGCTGAAGAGGAAGGTGAAAAAATCCCCAGGATCTCTGCCCATCTGATCTGGGAGAAAATTCCTTCCTAACCCCAAATGCAGTGATCCTGTGCATGTCAGCAAGACCCACCAGCCAGACACCTGGGAAAGAATTCTCTGTAGTAACACAGAGCCCTCCTCATCTAATGTCCCATCTCCAGCCATTGGAGATATTTGCTACTAGCAGTCAGTTGGGCCACGTGCCATGGTAGGCAATCTCATCATAGCATCCCTTCCATAAACGTATCAAGCTCAGTCTTGAAGCCAGTTAGGATTTTTTGCCCCCATTGCTCTCCTGGGAAGGCTGTTCCAGAACTTCACTCCTCTGATGGTTAGAAACCTTCACCTAATTTCAAGCCTAAAACTTGTTGATGGCCAGTTTATATCCATTTGTTCTTCTGTCAACATTGGTGCTTAACTCCTCTTCCTCCATGGTATTTACAGAGAGCAATCATATCTCCCCTCAGCCTTTGTTAGGTTAGGCTAAACAAGGCAAGTTCCTCAAGCCTTCTCTCATAAGGTAGGTTTTCCATTCCTCTGATCATCCTAGTAACCCATCTCTGCACCTGTTCCAGTTTGAATTAATCTTTCTTAAACATGGGAGATCAGAATTGCACACACTATTCCAGATGAGGTCTCACCAGTGCCTTTTATAATGGTACTAACACTTCCCTGTCTACTGGAAATACCTCGCCTGATGCATCCTAGGACTGCATTGCCTTTTTTTTACAGCCACATCACATTGGTGGCTCATAGTCATTTTGTGATCAACCAATACACCCAGGTCTTTCACCTCCTCTTGTGCCAAGGTCATGAATGAAAATGTTAAACAAGATTGGTCCCAAGACCAATCCCTGAGGAACTCTACTAGTAACCTTCCTTCAGCCTGAGAGTTCACCTTTCAGTCTGACGCCTTGTAGTCTCCCCTTTAACCACTTGCTTATGAACCTTTCAGTTTTCGTATTGATCCCCATCTTCTCCAACTTAACTAATAATTTCCCATGTGGAACACTATCAAATGCCTTACTGAAATCCAGGTAGATTAAATCTACTGCATGTCCTTTGCCTAAAAAAAATCAGTTATCTTTTCAAAGAAAGATCAGGTTGGCCTGGCATGATCTACCATTTGTAAAACCATGCTGTATTTTATCCCAGTTACTGTTTACTTCTATGTCCTTAACTACTTTGTCTTTCAAAATTTGCATACATCCTAGGTCAAACTAACAGGCCTGTGGTTTCCTGGATCACTTTTTTTCCCTTTCTAAAAAACAGGAACTATATTTGCAATTCTCCATTTACAGATTCATTAAAAATCCTTGCTATTGGGCTTGCAATTTCATGTGCCAGTTCCTTTAATAATTTTGGATGGAGATTATCTGGGCCCCCGATTTGGTTTCATGGAGCTGTTTGAGTTTGACTTCCACCTCGTATGTGGAAATTTCTACCTCCATTATCTTCATTTCTATTAGCCACCCTGTCACTACCACTAAACTCCTCATTACCCATATTAAAAAGTAGGGTAAAGTATTAGTTTAGGTGTTGGGCCATGCCTAGATTATCTTTAATTTCCACTCCATCCTCAGTGCTTAGTGATCCCACTTCTTGTGATCCCATGTTTCCTTGTTTTCTTTTTATTTACATGGCTAAAGAATCTTTTACTATGGTTTTAATTTCCTTAGCTAGGTCCAAGTCTGCTTGCCTTTGGCAGTTCTCACTTTTTCCCCTACATCTTCTGACCTCCAAGAGGGAGCTTTCCTTGCGGAGCCTTCCCACCTTCCATTCCTTGTAGGCTTTCTGCTTTCTCTTAATCACTTGTTTGAGATGCTCTCTCATCCAGTTTGGTCTGCAACCCTTCCCTATGAACTTTTCCCCCCTGACTGGGATTCAGTTTTCAGATAGTTTCTGCAACTTTGACTTAAAGTAATTCCAAGCCTCCTCCACATTCAGTTCCTTGACTTCTTTGGTCCAGTCCACTTCCCTAACTAATTCCCTTAATTTTTTTTAAAAGTTAGCTCTTTTGAAATCAAGGACCCTTGTTGCAGATCTATTTTTGTTTATCCTTCCATTTAGTTTAAACTGAATTAGCTCATGATCACTCAAACCAAGGCTGTCCTCTACAATCAGTTCTTCTATGAGGCCCTTACTACTCACTAACACCAAATCTAAATTGTCATCACCTCTTGTTGGTTCTGTGACTATTTGGTGAAGAAATCTGTCAGCCATCACATTTCAGGAATATCTGGGACCTAACATTATTAGTAGCACTTGTCCTCCAATCTATATCTGGAAAATTAAAACCTCCCATAATCCTACAATTCCCAGTCATATTTATTTCATTAAATTATTAAAGAGGTCTCTATTCATATCCAAAACGGATCCCGGGGTCTGTAGCAGACCCCAAGTACTAATCCAGTGGAGCCTCTGCTGCCTTTCTTCCCCCTAAGTGATTTTGACCCCAAAAGACTATTTTATCCTTTCTATCACTTTTAATTTCTTTAGAGTCTACCTTGTCATTAATATCCAATGCTACTCCACCACTTTTACCTTTATTTTTGTCTTTCCTGAACAGCACAT